TTGAATAGTGTGTAGATGTTGTTTATCTCTATGTGACTGTTGATGGCTCCCTTGTCTGAATACAAGCTTGGTATAAATAAATACCTTCCTCTTACTGTTAGTGCAAAAGGCATCAGGTTAGAAAAGACAGACAACCATGGTTTGTTTTCTGTAAAGGAAGCTATATCACAAAATAGATACTTTTTAATCTATTTTTATGTTTGATCACAATGAATACTTTATGAAGAAGTATCAGTAAGATACAAACTGTCTTGCTAATTAAGGTAAACATCTATCTAATCCAACGTTCTGCTTCTAATAACATTTGATATTTCTGAGCGCTGATATGTAGGACATTAGTCCACAGCATCTGGAATTCATAGAAACACTGCATCTGTATATAAGATATGCTTCCAGATTGGTATGTTTCTGTTGTCCAGCTCTAGGTCACCTTTCACAATTTTAACTAACTGAAATTGTACTATGTTTGGAAAAATGCTACCTTGCTTGCTTTTGGTCAGGTCTTGATTCTTAGTCATCTGCCAGAGGCAGCATGGCTAAGAATGATACCTTTGGTTACTCAGGTATACATTTTAATCTATATAATTCTTACCACCACCACGCCAATACTTCCTTTAGATTATTTGAAGTGGTCGCAAGGTTTATTTTTACAAGAGCTTCTATGTGCTCAGAGATAGGGCCAAGATTAGGCCTATCCATTAGGTCAAGGATTAGATCACAATATAATATTTTGGAAACTAATGAAGCAGAAGAGAGTATCTTGACATATATAGAGTCATAGAAAATGGTCTGGCAATCTAGTATAAATTCCCTGCATTCAACCAATTTACTATTTTGAACAGGGAGAACCTTAAAGTAATATCTGCAGAAACCAAAATTCTCTGTATACGGGTATGTACTGATACCACAGAAAAGCTAAACAACCTGGTCATAATATTTTGCTACTATATTTAATGTATCACAACAATGCTTTGTGGTTATGATTATAAAACACATACTCTTATTTAAACCAGTGACTTATAGGAATACCTTGCTGCTATTAAACAAATGTAGATCTAATCAATTTCTTGACCAGAGCACCGTGAAGTGCAGAAATTGTAGGATGCAAAGCAATTAAAACAGAAGATTATGTTTTATGCTCTTATATTTCAGTATTTTATTTTATTCCATAAAAACATAATATTAATCAAGCTAATGTCTTTTGACAAAGATTGCTATCTGAACAAGCACATATAATGCTTATATAAATAAGCATAAATCAGCATGCATATGCAGATGATATGACTCTCCAAGAATTGTCAGAATTGTGAAGCCATTTTGAGCTTGATACAAGTGATAGAATCTACCTAGATTAAAAAATGATTTCAAAAGTGAGTACACTGAATTGTATAACAAAAAGTAAGTATAATCCTTATCATTATATACTTCAAAGATCCTGGGAAGATCACATTGCTGAAATACAAATATATGTCAAGCTGATAAGTATAATAAATAAGTTAACTTTACAAATGATTTCTCATTCAATTCCTCTTCTCCATATTATTTACTTCTGCCTCTTATCTCACTTATTTTTATTTCTGGTACACACTAGCCATGATTCTATTATCCTAATATGTTACTATTCAAGATAACTTGCCAGTTATGAACTTACAGTATTTCAGCTGAGCACTTTTTTCCTGAATATTCCATTTTCTTCTCCCTCAAGCCTTTTCACCACCCCAAATTACTTCACATTTTGTATCCATGCTAGTTCCAGTAGTAACATCAGTTCCTGTTACTGATATATATTCCAGCTTACCATTTTGTATCATGAAAATAATTTTATACTGCCACCTTCCAATCAAAATTGACTTCTGATGACTTCACAGACATATGCAGTTTCCTTGGCACCAGTATGGAATGGTTGTCACTGCATTTTTCTGGGATGTTTTTCAACTTCCCAGGCTAGCTTTCAGGTTTGCTATTTTCTTCTGCTCATCCAAGTGCTAACCCAGCCTTACCTGCTTAGCTTAGAATCCAGACAAGGTTGGCCAGGTGCTGCCACCTAAGACTACCTACACACACACTCCAGTTGAGCTCAACTCCTAATGAATTTTTTTTAAAAAAATATTCCCCTAGTACAGCTATAACTCCTTAAAGTCAACCCTTCAAGCAAAACTATTACATTGGCTGGCAGAAACAATAGTTATAGCAGAGTGATAAAAATTAAACTATTAACATGTTTCAATAAATGTGTTTATTCATTTTACTTCTATACCAACTCATGGCCATTTTACAAAACAATAAACAAAACCATCCATAAGAGTTAAACCATCCCCCGTAAATATAAATAAATTAAAACAAACAATAGCTAATCAAAGTTACCATAGTATAAGGACAGAATATAATAGTGATAATGAAAAATAAATAAAAGAAATCATAACAAAATCAAATAAAATAATATTAACAATTTACTTATTACAAGTAATTCAAAGTGAGGTAAAAGATAGCAATAACAAACGCTTCAGTCAGAAAACTTCCTTTTTCAATCACTTCTGGAATGTTAGAAGGGAAGGAAAAAAATCATAATTCTCAGAAAAGTCTATTTCACAAGGCCAGAGCAGCAATGGAGAAACTGCAGTTCTGGGCCTCCATTCCCCACTACTACACTTCACGAACAATCAAAGCTTATCCCAGGAAGAGCGTACCAAACAGGCTGATAAAAATAGCAGAAGGTAGCCCTGTAGGTACTTAGACACCAAGCCATAAAATGCTTTATAAGTCAAAATCAGCACTTTGAATGGGACCCAAAAACTTATCAGTAATCAGAGTTGGGTCTGAAGCACAGGCATAATGTGCCCTTAGCTGGTAATACTGCTGGTAACTAGGCCACTGCATTTTGTACCACATATAATTTCTGGGTGGTCTTCAAAGGCAGTCCCATGTAAAGTAGTCTAGTCGAGATGTGACTGTTGCTATATAAAACTAAATCCAAGATTTTTTTGGCTAGCATTTGTAGGCAGATTCTAATTGGTCAAAGGTCACTTAAGCAATCGAAATTTCTTAAATGTGGCATTGTCCTTATATTATGGGAGAGAACAGAATGGAACTTCTAATGACATTGCAAGAGGATATTGTTGCATATTTGAATTCAGTTTGGAAATAAGTCTAATTGGGCTATTATGTGATTCCATAAACATAGCAAACTATAAGACAGGGTAAGAATCCATGGTAAGAATGCAGAACTGGCTTGTTTTCTAGATTGACAGAAACATTTCTCTAAGATACTATACCACAAATACAAGTAGATACTGATTGACGGTCAGCTCCAAAGACACAGAATGCTACTTTGCCCAAGATTCAGATATGTTTTACAACTCAGTGTGAGAGCTGAACATTCATCCAAACCTAAAATACCAGAAAACATCTTAGATTCTTAGGCAGCCCAATGGGATGGGATGGTGGGTAGAATGAACATGCCTACCTATGATATAGTATATTACATAGAAAGCTGTCTTATGTAACTTTGTCCCTCTAGCCCATTGGTTCTCAACGGGGGCGGTACCGCCCTAGGGGGCGGTGGGAGGATACTGAGGGGCGGTGAACTTGTTTTGGGCGGTAGGGGGGCGGTGGGCATGTTTTGGGCGGTAG